AATCTCTCCGGTCAAAATGTCCAGTCAAAATAATTTCCCCTTAGTGCAATACCGCATCAGTTGCGCCACTTATGTGACAGACAAGAAGAGTCAATACGCTACATGCACAGTCACTTCCTTTCTAATGTCTGACATTTAATGTGGAGAAAGAGATTTATCCTCCTGAAGGGGACATTTTGACCCCTCATGTAAACAAATGCTTAATGCTGCATAATGCTGCGCTATACTTTTGCCGCCACACCCCCGTTGCCAAGGCAGTCATATCATTAGCTAGAACTAGCTAGATCTGATAGATTTGGACATAAACGCGAGTGAAGTATAATCGGACGGGAGAGAGAGATCAGAGAGCAGATCAGCTGCTGCTGACGGAGACACGTAGCTCTGCATGATCACAGCTCCGCCCGCTGTGACGGACCGGTGAGCGGAGCAAAACACACACTTCAAGATAGACCTAACACACTTAGCTAGTTTATCTACCTCTGGAACAACCTAAACTAGTTATAAATATGTTTATTCTTTACTGTCGGGTCACTCATTACTGGATCAGCGAGCTGCATGAGATACTGAGAGAGAGGATCCGTTTATTATTCCCGTGTTATTATCCAAAGTTACTGTACACTTTTGAATTATGTAGTTAATCTACTATAATTAGTTTGTTTAATATAGAGTCGTTATCAATTTGTTTTAAAGCTCAATAAATAACAAATAAGACCTTTGACCGGCACTTTTCTCATTTTGTCCGGAAGATTTAAACTTTAACGGACATCTTGACCGTCAAAAAAGAATTCTAACGGAAACTCTGATTCATGTGTACAGTCAGTACATTTTTACGTGTATTATAACATTCAAGTTTGCTGCTGCAATAACTGTGAAAAGAATGCAGATTTCGTATACACTCTTTTAATGTCCTAAGCTAATGCTGACTAATAATCAGTAATTATTCTCACACATATACGCTTCGTTTCTTGCGCTTCATTTCAGAAACTTCTTCCATGTTTTACTTCTTCACTGATTCATGTACAACAACATGATGTACTGCTTGTTGCACCTCTGCTCTGCAACTAAAGACTTTTAAATCCATCTGCTGACTCTGTGCTGTCTGACCGGAGCCCTGTAGTGCTCCATTATCCACAACACCAGTTTAAAGGCTTGTCCCTACCTACCAGGCTGTTGAGAGAAAGCTGCTGCCCCCCCCAAGACTCTTCATCATTGATCAGTTAAAGTTGAGGAAGAGCTGAGGGAGTGCTACAGGTCAACAGACTGGGACCTGGTTCAAAGGGTCCACAGCGACCATATTGATTGACTTTAACAGTGAATTACAGACTACATTAGGGTCAGCTCCAAAGAAAAACTGAAAAGGTAGGCTCAAAGCCAACAGCTCCAGGTGTGTGTGTGTGTGTGTGTGTGTGTGTGTGTGTGTGTGTGTGTGTGTGTGTGTGTGTGTGTGTGTGTGTGTGTGTGTGTGTGTGTGCACAAAGATAGCGCAGTAATTAAAAGGCTGTGTTTATCTCGAATTACATGGAATACATTAGCCTTGCCACCAAAGCTAATTATTGTCATTATAAGTACTTGTATTATTTCTGGGATGTTTAAAAGAAGAATGTGATCACACATTATGTAAACTACATGTCGTGGAACATTAACCAGACATACGCATGACATATTACATTTTCACTCTAAATTGTGAATGAGTAGGACTCGTTTGCTGTCATTGTAGCATCAACCAAGACTATAACACCTCTGTTGTGCAGTATTACTTATGTGCAATATACGTATATAAATATACCGCTGTATAGTTATAATTATTACTGGCTGCTATCTCTTAGTTGACAATTCAACTACTGTAATAAATCTGTAAATAACTGTGCAATATATACTTCCGCTTTTACCTCTATCCCCGGGATGTTGTCACAATACTTTATACATGCATCACTTGCTTTTTAAATACTGTTACTGGTACTTTGAAAATAAGAATTTGTTCTTAATTGATTTTCCTGGCTAAATAAAGGTTCTACTACTACTTTTTGTTTGGATGTGTATTTTTGTAAATTGTAATTTATGTAATTTCTATTTTTATCTTTAATGTTTTAAGCATGCCTCTGCCCCAAACTCTGAACCGGCCCTGGACATGCTTCTGTGGAAAAGGGGGTCTCTAAGACTTGTTCCTGCAGCATCTCAAGCCCCTTGTGTGCAACTCCTTGGACCCCCTGCAGTTTGCATTCAAACATTATCACCAGTGTAGATGATGCCAACATCTACAAGCTCCACAGACTAACACGTCAGACTGTCAGATTTGCTGGCAACACCTAAAACACTATTGTTCTCATGACAGACTCCAAAGCCAAAAGGATTTATAGCCAATGGCATTAGTGTTTAATATATTCTTAACCTGTTTAGCCCTGAGCCTGTTTTTCAGGTTTCAGGCTCGAAAATGACATTCCCAGAACAAATGACTATATCTTCACTTCTAAAAGGGTTAAATTAATAATCTTTTTTCTCAAAGCAAGGTTACATCTGTGAATTGGATGTAGAAAAGTCAGAATCAATATAGATTTTTTTATTTTAAAGTAAATTCAGATTGAACATAGTAAAAAAATGTAAATTATAGTTTCCGTCCTAAATAAACCCCATTACTTATAGTGAAAAGCACCCTTGAATGATGGGATAGTAGAGTAAAAGCTTTAGGAATCCAAACTATAACATATAATAAGTACCCTGTATCAAGATTGATGCAAAACAAGTGACATTTGACCTTTTTAGAGAGGTTTAGCAAAAAAAGAAACACCTCTGGGGTCATTTGGGTGGATTTGCCATATCTCTGGAACCCATTGGTCGATTTTGGTGATTGAAACCTCTTTTGAAAAGTTAGAGCCAATAGAATCGAGGGGAAGTTCCTAAATCCACCTACACGTTACCATTAAGGAGTGAGAGTGATGCGCACGCAGTTTGCCCAAACCGAAAGCTATGTTATGCTCTGAAAACTAGACTTATTGCCATAAATATGATGATGGATTATCAGTAATCATTTCAAAGGGACATAGAGACATTGGATTAACCTTCAGCAGCGTTTATATGCGTTTTAATGCCCTTGAACACAACTTTTGATCAGAAAACAGCAAAGGTAAGATGTATTTTCTGTTTTGGCTACGTAAAGTGAAGTTGTGTGAGTTTTGGTCGCACAGTGATGATACTTATACCATTGGAATCTGTAGAATCTCAACTTTCAGATGATATATTTATACCGTGAGTTATGTGCTAAGTGCGTTAGCACTCTCTCTTTCGTTTAGTGCTAATTCAGAGGCTCGGCGTTAGACTTGTGTTTTGTTTCGGTAAAAATGGTTCATATCGTCAGGTAGCTGAGTTTCTTCCCGTTAAGTGGGTATGACACATTCATAGTTTGTTAAATGTTAAGAAGCCCTCAGAGGCTGTTCGGGGGCACCGGACTTAACAGGTTAAGCAAAGCCAAGATGGGAAGATTGATTGAAGCTCATATATCTGCTGTATGTCTTTTGGGAAATGTACCACACCAAGGAGATATGGTCAAATAAAGAATACTTTTGTAAAAATTAATAACATGCGTTTTTTCAACAGATAAAAGAGCAACCAGACGGCAGAATGAAATGCGTGACATGGAGAGTTAATTTGATCGAATTTATTTTATTTAAATTGAAATCGTGACAACCCTAATAATTGTTGTGGTACACAGTGATTTGACTGGCAGCTCAGTGAACACTGATACCTTTGGATGACAGGTAGCAATTATGACTTTCAATCCACAAACTATTGTCTCTAGTCTGTAGGGATGGGTACCGAGCTCCGGTATTAAACGGGCCCCAGGGCTGAATTATTAAAGACTGTGGTACCGTTAAGCTCTGAAGTTATCGGTCTTTTAACGGTACTGGAGACATTACAAAAATATATGTCTTATGTATTATTACTACACAAACATTATATTGCAGTTTTAGTGTCGCCAAGTTTCTAATACGCAAGAAGACAGCAAAATGCGCCTATGATTAAGTTTAGTATTTTCGATCTTTCCAATCCAGACGAGAGATCTCTCTCTCCCGTCTGTGTGCGAGGGGGCGGGGCAGTTTACACACACGCAGCTGCTACATGCAGCAACACACACACACACGGAGGAGATGGCGGAGAGAACGCGCTCCAAGGTGTGGTTAAACTTCACCCGTCTCGATGTGGACAATGCACGTTGCCAAAAGTGCAATAAGAGTTTAGCATGTCAGGGCGGTAACACGAGCAATTTGTCTAAACATCTTGCAAAAGTGCACCACATTCAGACGGAGAAATGTCTTTCTAGCGCTGTAGCCCCGTCCACGAGTAACGTCACTTTCCACGTCAGGTATTATGTATGCTAGCAGCAACACACGGAGTTAACTAAATTATACAAACATGGGTTAATGATTCGAGGTAAATTAGTTATTTATTTTGTTAAAGTTTCAGCTATTGTGTTTAAAGTTCTGTCATCAGATTATTTAATAAGATTTGTTAAAACATTGCTGTTTCTTTTGATGTGAAATATTATTTATTTAATTTAAATAAAAAGCAATGTTCATTTTGTTCACAATTTGTTTAGATAGTTTACCTTATTTTTTCTCTCCAAAAGAACCGATAAGAGTACCGTTAATAGGTTGTTAAATGGTAAGAAGCCCTGAGACACAGTTTCGTGAATATTGTTGTGCCGGCAGGGGCAATCGGGCTTAACAGGTTAAGAGGTTAAGCTTTTAGAATCCGACAACAGTAATGTGGTGCAGTCACGTTAGACATGTTAGCATCCTTTCTGAATACATTTACATTTGTATGAGCATGGCCTAGTGAAAATAACAGGCGGTTCACTTCAAGGCTTAGCATAAAGGTCAGGAGACTAAAAGAGTGTTGAATTTCTGGACACACTTTAGGTCCGCTATTGACTCTGTAGATATGTACAGTGAAAGGTGTATGGAGAAAGGGTTTCAGTGAAGGGAAATACAAAGGTAGACACTCACGTCTTGAGAGCAGTGATGAGGTACATGGTCTTGGGCAGGAGCAGGAACACCTGGTCTGTGAGCACAGCCTGGATTATCTTCTTAGCTACATAGTTTGGATCCAGGATTGGCAGCAGTGTTGGCCACCTGGTGAAAACAAGAAAAAGGATTTAGACTAAAAAAAGACAGCAATAAATGGATACCACAACATTTTAATCCTTTGAGCAGGTCCTTTTTTAGATGCCGTTTTAAAAGTGTGTGAGAAGTAGGAAGTGACAGGTCAGGCGTGAAGCATGTGTCCTGGTGCCTTCAGGGGCTGTTTGATGGGTGAATGCAGAGAGACAGAAATACAGATGGACACTAGTCTGCAAACACATTCAAAACCTGACCCCAGGACTTCTAGGAGTGTACCTGTGTGTGTGTATGTGCGGGGGAAAAAAGAAAGGCACCGTCAGTCCAATGTCTGCCAGTGTCCCCGGAGAGGCCTGAGGCTCGTCGCTCTTCTTGTCCATGGGTCCGTTTGTGTGAGTCATTAGAGCAAGGTTAAAGGCTGGTACACTGAATTAACAACAAGGGTGGCCATGGCACTATGTGGTATGTGTGCATTGATAAATGAGTTTTTTGGGAACAGATTGAGGAAAATTCCATTCAAAAGGGATCCTCCCCAATAGAAAATATTCCTGCATAAAGCACATTGGAAACAATTGGATAAAAAAATATATTGAATATGGGGGAACATGTAAGGAAAACGGGGAAGAGCGAAGTTTATAATTATATTGCCAATAGAAGACATTACAGATATTTGACCTCTTTGTATAATGCTGGCTCTAAAAGGTGTCAATAACAGAAATTGTGAGCAGATCATTTGAAATATGTTGCACTGCAACAGCAACAGCAATTCTTTAGAACTGTTTTGATATTTTCACATAGTATAATATGTAATGTCTTACAACTAATGAACGAAAACAAGGTCATTCCAACAGGCTTGGAACATTACTTTATCAAAATGATAGAAAATAACAGAAACCTCTTATATTAAAGAGATCATAGATGATCTCAATCAATCCTATGTTAGGAATTAAGTCACTGTCCTTTTCTGTTCCCGTAACGTAAGATAACAAGATCTCTGGCTAATGGAATGACCGAATGACTTTTTTAGTGTGGAATCTCGGCGCCGTGCTGGTGGCTGCCTGTTGCTTGCAGCTCCCGGTGTTTTATTTGATTTTTGTCTTTTTGTTTACTTTTATCCTCTTAGTTGTACTTTTTTCTTTGGATATTTATTTTGTCTTGCAGCGAACTACAGATGGAGCCTCTTATTTTGGACCCCAGCATACAGCTTCCTGCCTACTGCCAGCCAGTTACCTGCCTAAGACCTGCCAAAGACCAGTATTCAGGAATGTTAGGCCCTCCCACTATTCTCCAATTTCAGGGTTTAACCAGGAGATGGCGCTATATATTAAATAACTATGGCCAAACTAAGACTTAGTTTTTCACAAGAGACAATGCAGATATTATATAAAAAACTAAAGTTAAAATCTTGTTTTTAATGCCCCAAGAGCAATAACATCTTGTCACAAGCTTTTTGGAAGAAAAAGACTTCAAGAGACCTGTAGTTGACTAATTACAGGCCTCAATAAAGTTCTGCCATTGGTTGTGAAAAACAACGGTGGACATAGTGGAAAGTGAAATTGAGATTGTCAAATTTAATAAAAATACAAAATAATGTATCTGTGTACGTGTTTTACTATATGTGATCTGCATGCACTTATCAAACATCTAATTAAAGAATGGGGAGGAGCAAAAAACACACACTTCAAGTCAGATCATCACCCTTAGCTATTTCAATTACCTCTCAAACAACCTAAACTAGTTATAAATGTTTATTTTAAATAAAGTCTTTATGACTCGGAATATGAATAAAATGGGTCCGTTACAGTTTGTTTTCATCTGATTTCAAATAAACAAAGTCTTGGCTTTCAGAATATTAAACTTGTTTCGGCAAACTTAGATGATAAATACAACTATGAAGCCGACCCCCCTCTGAGTGAATACCTGTTAACTTAATTGTTAACACAATAAAAATGATAACAAGAAAAGTTCATGTTTTATCAAGATGATGGGTTTCCCTAACGCTCAGAGTCGCAACGACTAATTACAGGCCTCAATAAAGTTCTGCCATTGGTTGTGAAAAACAACGGTGGACATAGTGGAAAGTGAAATTGACATTGTCGAATTTAATAAAAATACAAAATAATGTATCTGTGTACGTGTTTTATGTGATCTGCATGCACTTATCAAACATCTAATTAAAGAATGGTAGCTGTACCTCTCAAACAACCTAAACTAGTTATAAATGTTTATTTTAAATAAAGTCTTTATGACTCGGAATATGAATAAAATGGGCCCGTTACAGTTTGTTTTCATCTGATTTCAAATAAACAAAGTCTTGGCTTTCAGAATATTAAACTTGTTTCGGCAAATTTAGATGATAAACTTTAAACTTTCACACACGTTGACCGGCGAAAAACTCTGCCCGGTTCACCGACCCCCCTCTGAGTGAATACCCAAGATATCTTGGTTTGATTTGGTTTGATTTGGAGAATTTATTTAGCTACTTGGCACTAAGAGTACAGATATGTCTACCCTTTCTTTTCAGAGTGTAATATCTGCATTTTCTCTTTTGGTTTGAATAGGAGAAGGGCAATGGTTATCGACGGTGCTTTTAATGCCTATTGTATACGAACTGTGTGATTTATATTGCTTTTCAAATGCATATAAGCCCCCCATTTACACTGCACTTCCCCGTCAAGAAAATGAATAGCACTTAGTTAGATCACTTTACAGATCAGGTTGGACCAGCCCTGTCGCTACTCTCTGCATTTCCTACTGCAGATTAAAAAAAAGCTACAAATATGTATTTCTTAATAAACTAAATAGGCCACCATTGGTAGCAGTTCTCATTATATACTTCTCAGTATACTTCCCCCACCCGCCCACTGTTTGTTGCTTTTTGACATGTAAATGGGTAACTACCCCCCCTCTGAGTGAATACCTGTTGTACCTGTCCGGGGCTAAGCCCATAGGACGATGCTCTGATGTCATCACCCTCGCACATTGGTCATATGTTTATGAGATCACTGTGATTCACTTCTCCGCGGCTCCTCCGTGCAGAGAGGCCCCCCCCCGTTGACAATTCACGAGCGTCTAACTCTCTCCCCCCTCCCCCGACGCACCTTCTAACAGAACCCCCCCCCCCATATCTGGATTTGGCCCACAGACCTAGAGAGTAGCAAAATACAGTGAGTCCTAAACACAAGTAGTCAGGGTTCATTTATAACGCTTATTTTGATTTATTTTTCTCAAATGATGCTGTATGTTTCACTTTCTGAAAGCGTTAGAATCGCACATGAAAAATATTGAAAGCTGCCAGCTGCCCTCGGCCATGTCTTTGGCGGTGATCCAAGCTTCGGTACCACAGTGGATAAAGTTAGTAATACATTTATAGGCTACTGATCAAATGTCAATACATTACATAAGTCTTATTCTCATTCATACTTAATTTATTTCTTCTTCTGTCAGTATGAACACAAAAAACTAACCGGTATTACATTTCATTCTAAAGTTTACGGTCTAAAAAGGTATTTAAAACAGATAATTTGTCGTTGCTTTTGGCATAAGCAGTCAGAGGAAACATAACGTTCTCAGTAAGATTCCTTGAAGAACTAGAGCACAAGAACCAAAGTAAGCTTTACTTTCAATGAACCTTCAATATAGACCTAACATGTGAAGAAACATACTTTATTTAAAATAAACATTTGTAACTAGTTTAGGTTGTTTGAGAGGTAATTGAAATAGCTAAGGGTGATGATCTGCGAACACAAACTACAGACTGCTGGAGAAGAGATATCACAGGGGGGGGGGGGTTGGGACACACACATTCCGATGGCCAATTCGTTTTAAACAAAGAGTAGGCTATACTCAACATAGTGGGGTGGGGGCTGGTGAACGGTATGGTCAATGTTTGTAAACACTGTGACATTTTGACTTTATTTGATCATTTCAGTTAAAAACTAACGTTCATATTTCATATTACTGTTTTGCCTGGCTGGACCTGTCATTTACAGGAAAGGAGTGCACGCTACTAAAGAGACACGCTACCATGGAAACCAAACAATGGTGTTGCTGTATTGAAGTCCGAGTGGAAACAGTCATATTTGGAGCGTTATGTTAGAATGAAACAGCGAGGTCGTGACTCACAAAAAAAAAGTGTTACTTCACTAACTGTAAGCTTGTCACTCAGAGTAACCTACAGTTAACTTAACTGTTGGAAAAGAAAGATCAGAGGGGGAGAGAGCTGTGATGGGCCATTAGGAGTGTGAACACACAGCTGAGAGCTGCCGTTTCATTCTGACTGTTTAAAAAACGGTAACAACGGACTATTTTTCTTAGCGGATGCATGTAAATTTAAATCAATACATACAACTATTTTTTAAATCAATAAAAATATTTTCTAAATCCATAAAAGCATTTTAATTAATATTGGGAGTCATGTCGTTACTTTGTGGCCATGTAATAAGCGGGATAATTTGCAGCGACTTGGTCATTATGGGGAAAAATAACACCCAGGGATCAAGATCCCTCCGCGACGCGACGCGGAGGGATCAGTAATTTTTAGTGAATTACTGAGTTTAGGCACGTTAATAACATTTTAATGAAGTTGAATACAGTATATTCATATTTGTCAGTGATTTCATGTCAATTCGGCGAACATAAACGATTAAATTAGGATTAAAAATCGAGAGCCGGCTGCTGTTCGTTACGGCAACCCAACTAGGACACTTGACACAGTGGCTTTTGGCAAAGCACACAAAGAAAACAAAAAAAACCGAGAGAGATGAGTTATTGTTATTACAACGCGACTTCACTATTATTTAACAACTATTTTTATTGGGTTCTTTTATTTGGGGTTAAGTACATTGTCAGAATAAGTGAGAAATGGATTTAACTTCTGTTAGACAGCTATCATACTGAATAAATATTTATGCAAACATTTATGGCATTAATAATGTATATCTAATTACATTTAAAAATGTATGGCATTAATAATGTATATCTAATTACATTAACTGTGAATGTCTTTCATTTTA